TCCTTCCTTCCTTCCTTCCTTCCTTCCTTCCTTCCTTCCTTCCTTCCGTCCTCCCTCCCTCCCTCCCTCTATTCCTGTCTTCATTCACTGCTTCCTTTCTTTTTACTATTTCCTTTATTCCTTTTTTTGTTCTTTCGTTCATTCAGTTCATTCCTTCCATCCTACTTTCCTAGTTTCCGTTCTTCTTTTTTGTCTGTCTTTCCATCGTTTATCTATTTATTTCTTCCTTCCCTTCTTTGTTTTTGTATATTTTTCTTCATGTAATCTATTATTCTTGTCCATCCATCCTTCACTTCCTTACAAGTGATTTGTAGTTTCCTCCTGCCGTCCTCGTCAGACTTCAGATCTGTTGTTTTCATTCTGTTCTCATCTTCTTCACCGCTGGTCCTTTTGTTTTTAGAAGATGAGTCTCGTTCTTTTTCCTCCTCCAGTGTACACCACTCCCTACATTCTGACTCTTTTTGCACCACAGTAACACTTCTCTTATCTTTTCCACTTTTCCCATCATCTTGCTGTTTTGAAAAACAGATCTGTAACTTGTAAAGGCAAAAAGGAAGCTGTGTGTGTGAGTGAGGATAAACATACCACAAGTGCATGCCACACACACCCACAAACACACGGAGAGGCTTCTTTGTCCTTCAGCAAAACGCTCGGTGTCAGTCCAACCTTCTGCACACTCAGCAAGCAAGCAGAGACAAAGCTGTCTGCCTGTCAAGCTCACACAAACACACACACAAATATAATCCATTCTGTGCACCAATACACAATCTCAACTTATTGATTCACACAGTTGTCCAAATGTGCACATTTTCTCCGACAGCAACACAAACATGCAGGTGCTGAGGCAAACAGGCTCAAACAAAAAAACCCCAAACAAACCAGAAAACCTGCGATGAATCAGAAAGGAGCTTCAGATTGACTTCTGGCATCCACACTGCAGCCAGATCGTCCAGTAACTCTGAATCCTGAAGGTCAGACAGTAAAAGTCTCTAACATCCCTCAGACCAAGAGGCTGTGCTGCTCAGAAGGTGTGCCCAGTAAAGTGTCCCTCTTCTTTCAGATTTGTTCTGCGTGCAGGGATGAAATATGCAGCGGCTTGTTTTTCCACAACTTCGTTCTTACAGTCAGTGAGGATCAGGGATTCTTCAACTGAGCCTTCGTGCAATATTACAGAAAACAATTGAACATTTGAAAATATATAGTAACCATCTGAGAGATGAGCCATGTTTGTAGAATACTTTTTTAAATGCATCACATATAAACTGGTTTATTAATGTTGAATATTACCACAAAGTTACATCTGGGGCAAAAAAAAACCTATGATTTATGAAATTTGATGTCTTTTTTTAAAAAGCAGAGATAATTTACTGAAGTCCCAACAAAATGTATACACTGTGATTAATTGGGATAATTTTAATTAATGAAAATGAAGCTATTTTTATTTACAAATAAAAGTGTTGTTGTTTTTAAAACATTTGCATTAACTGAGCATGGACAGTTTTTATTGGTTTGGACAGTGCTACTGAAACGAGCTGCTAACTCAATCTTTATAATGAACCGGAAACACACTCATAAAAGTTAAAAGGCCTCCCAAAACTGTTCATGCAAGATACTAGTAATAAAACAAAATGTTTATAAAGTGTAGTGGTAAACAAAAAATACACAAGTATTCATATTTAGTGTAAGGATTTGCCAGAAAGACATCCATCCATCCATTATCTTTTACCGGATTCATCCTTTTTGTGTCGCGGGGGTCACTGGTGCCCACGTCCAGCAGTCACTGTGTGAGAGGCGGGGGACTACACCCCCATGCTGCCCTGTTGTAGGTTGCATTGTATAAGAAGAATTATTGAAGAAGAATTTGATTAAAGTCAATGGCAAGTTGTCCATCTGGCCTAAAACATTTGATTGTTGTACAAAGTACATGATGACTGATTGTTTTGGATGGGTGTGTTTTGCACGTGTTAAAGGCCTTCTGAGATTCCAACAGGAGGCTGGTTTGAAACACAGCAGTGAACACTACCTATGGGACAGATCTGGTTGGTAGACTGTAGACTGAGGAAGTCCTCTGGATGGGGGACGAAATATTTCTCACTTAAAGAAACTAGTCCAGATGACATGATTTAATCTTTGTTGTTATCTACCTGAATGATTGAGCTTAAACCTTTTTTTTAATGCTAAAGTATTTCCCCCTTTAAAAAAGTTTTTGCTTTTCTGTAACATTTAAATGTTTCAGATGAGCGAGCACATGCTTGTATCTGACAAAGATAACCCGAGTAAATACAAAACACAGGTTTCAAGTGATAAGTTAATGCTTTAGGCTGGAAAAAGCTATCCAAACTAGGCTGGTGCCATGTGAAAAAGTAACTGCACTTTTGTTAAATCATGAAGTAACTTTTTTTTTTCTTTCCAGAAAGCTGAGTTCAGTTTCTCCAGCCACAGTCAGGCCTGACTTGCAGAAACAAGAAATCACTGAAATAGAACATTATTCACAAACGGAGAAAACAGAACAGTGGTCAACCTTCTTACCAAAATCACACAGAGCACTGTGGATGACAGGCGATCAAAAATGAGCGGCACAAACCTTGCTGCTGTGAGATTTTATATAAACACGCAGCTCTTATAGTTTTTTTTTTTCTATCCACACTTAATGTTCTCTGTGACATACCCAGGATGGCCAAAACCATTCCATCTTTCAGCACCTCCATAGACCCCGAGCAGACGAAGAAGATGGCCTGAAGAGCGTCGCCCTGCCGTAGCAGGTACTCGCCGGGGGTGCAGAAGGAGGTCTTAATGTGCAGTGACAGCGAGCGCAGACAGCCACGACTGGCAGAGGCAAACAAGGACAGTTCCAGGATCTCCTTGTTAAGATGCATGGTGATGTCGGATCGCAGCTCGTCTGGAAAGTCCTTCAGCAGCTGTTGAGATGATGAGGGTGAGAGAAAAGAAATGTAAGCGTGGAAAACAAGAGAGAGGTGGTGAGAGTGAAGCGTGACAGTTGTGAAAACACTCTGCTGCTCAGTAATGGACTTTTCAGACTTCACTGTTTTGATTCTCATGAACGCCGTGTTCATGGGTCCTAAATGCACACATGCAATGTGGAGTTACCCTGAAAATAAAATAAAAAAATGTGACGAGGCATATTGGGGTAGAGGAGCAGCCAACTTGGGACCCGAAAGTCCCATGTTTGATCCCCAGCCATTCCCACATGTAGTGGTGTCTCTGAGCAAGACACCCAATCCCTAATTGCTCTCTGAGCACTCACATACAGTAGCTGTCCACTGATCCACCTGGGTGTATCTCAGGTGCGATGGGTTAAATGAAGAGAACTAATTACTAGGGATGCACGATATTATCAGCATGGTATCGGTATCGGCCGATATTAGCGTTAAAGTTCAATATCGGACATCGGCCATTCCATTAAAATAACTCGCCAATATAAAAGGCGCTGTTTTTGCCTGCAGCGGCAGCGCAACGTGACATCACATGCCTCTACCTGATCTCACAGCGGAGAGGAAAATTCAAGATGTCGGCGGTGTGGGAGTTTTACTTTTTCGTTGGTGAGGCTGTCAGATTCTGAAGATTTATGGACTACGTTGAGCCTCGCTATATTGTCCCTAGTCAGAAATATTTTTCCGATGTAACGTTACTCGAGTTACAAGCCATCATTTCCGACGTCATTAAGAGGTTAATAGCCGATAGCACTTGGGTGAGTTTTACCACAGACATTTTGACGTCGTGTTAGCCCCGTTAGCATGATTAGTCTTACAGCACAATGGATAAACAAAAACTTTGAACTTAAAAAGATGTCCTTCATGGTTAAGAGTGCAGAGGATCCCACACTGCAGCTAGGAACCTGGAACAAGCCTCCACAAGAGAGACAGCATCACAGGTGACTAATGCTAATAAATAACATTTAACACTTTTCATTTAATATAAGTTAAAGTGCTCTGCATTTCATATGGCTGTTACTGAATATATGTCACCAGCTCTTACAGCTGTTGCACAATTTTTGTAGCAAATAAGTCTAAATAAGAGGAATATGTTCTGACAAAGGAAAGTATATAAAAAATATCAATATCGGTTATCGGCCAAATAAGTTTTAAAATATCGGCATATCGGCCAAAAATCCAATATAGTGCATCCCTACTAATTACACCATTGTATGGGAACATACAATGATGACAACACATAGCAATTGTTATTATTATTATTATTATTATTATTATTATTATTATTATTATTATT